GCTGTGTAGTAACAGGAGGGTGAGAGGACCCCTGGTTCCTGCAGCAGGATGAGCTGTGCTTGTTTGAATGACTGTGTGGGCTGGCAGGGACATGGCACCTACTAGGGTTAGGGTCCCGTGGGCGTGGCTGGTCTGGCTGACAGGGGACCGAGCTGGGGACGGGCATGCATGCCTGCTGAGAATGGGAGGTCATGGTTAAGACTCTGGGACCCTGGGAGGATAGCGCAAGGAGCCCGGCCGGTGTGGCTCAGTGGGTTGAGCGTCGTCCCAGTGGGAGGTGACGGTTCAAGCCTGCAACCTGACTGGGAATTGAATGGTGACCTCCTGGTTCATGGGTCAACGCTCAATCCCTGAGCCACACCGGCCGGGCTGTTTATGTTTTTTTCTTTTCTTTTTTTTAAAAAAATATATTTTATTGGTTTTTTACAGAGAGGAAGGGAGAAGGATAGAGAGTTAGAAACATCGATGAGAGAAACATCGATCAGCTGCCTCCTGCACACTCCCTACTGGGGATGTGCCACAAGCAAGGTACATGCCCTTGACCGGAATCGAACCTGGGACCCTTCAGTCCGCAGGCCGACGCTCTATCCACTGAGCCAAACTGGTCAGGGCATATGTTTTTGTTTTTTTATTGTCTGTATGTGGCCATGACTGCAAGCTTCATGAGAACGCGGGTCTTCTCTGTATTCTCAGGGCCTCGAACGGCGTCTGGAACACTCAGTCCGGCTCAGTGCACGTTTGTGGGATCAGTGAACAGCCGCACAGGCCGCTGCAACTTGTGCAGGTACATGTAGATGCCGTAGGTGCAGTGTGAGGATTGCTCAATCCTCAGCGGGACCTCAGGGAAGGATCGCTATCATCTTAGAGGGAGGGAGAGGGGGGTTTGGAGAGATTGAGCAACTTGCCTGAATTCACACACGTGGGAAATGGTGGAGGTGCGATTTACACAAAGGACCGCTAGACTGGTCCTACCTTTTCAGCGACTACTCTACGATTGGCTTCCAATGGTAACCTCCTAGAGTTCTGACATACAGCTGGCAATTTGGGGATGGCTTGTACCATGTGACTATATATAGCCGGGAGCCCATTCTCTCGGTATGAGACTTTAGAGCAGTGGTTCTCAACCTTCTGGCCCTTTAAATACAGTTCCTCCTGTTGTGACCCAACCATAAAATTATTTTCGTCGCTACTTCAACACTGTCATGTTGCAACTATGATGAATTGTCATGTAAATATCTGATATGCAGGATGGTCTTAGGCGACCCCTGTGAAAGGGTCATTCGACCGCCAAAGGGGTCGCGACCCACAGGTTGAGAACCGCTGCCTTAGGGACCTATGGGCCCAGACTAGGTCTAAATGGACATCCCATAGATGTGGCGGACTGAGCCTGGGAGTGCGTGAGATGCGTTTTGAAAGAAATCCTTGAGGGAGAACTAGACAGTTTCAGCCTTTAGAAGAACTATCTGGGACAAAAATACAGAGAAAAGAGGACGGTGGAGAGAGATCCTGATCTCATCTATAAGGGGTAGATGTGGGTGGAATATTCGGCGATTTGTGAATGCAACCCTGTCTTTAAAATGTTTGTTTTTATTGATTTCAGAGAGAGGTAGGGAGAGGGAGAGAGAAAGAAAGATCAATGAGGAGAAACATGGATCAGCTGCTTCCTGCACACGCCCTACTGGGGATGGAGCCCGCAACCCGGGCATGTGCCCTGACCGGGAATCGAACCGTGACCTCCTGGTTCATAGGTCGACGCTCAACCACTGAGCCACACTGGCTGGGCTGCAGCCCCTTTTTGGATGGAACACAGAAAGTGGAAATAGACTCCAGGTTTGGAATGACTATAATTGCCATGTCTTGTGGGTTGAGGAGAGAATCGCAAAGTCTGAATAAACCCTGTGCGGAAGGAAAAACACAACCTACCAAAATGACAACACAGGATAGGAACTGAAAGACTTATTTGAAGTCCGATTGTATAAAAACATCCAGCTGCCAAAGACTCGGGCTCTTCCATGTTTTAAGTTTATTTAATCTTTATGTCGACTCTGACATGTAAGAATATACAGTGAGCAAAGGAGAGGGAGGTCTTTGATCTCCTCCGTTGGGAACCTGAATTCATCATTTTCATTATCAGGCATTCAAGAATAAAAGACCGTGTGATATGCAAATGAGAGGATTGGAAACAACATTTCTAATGCTGGAAAAAAGATGTCATGGACGGCCCAGCCGGTGTGGCCCAGTGGTTGCACATCACTCCCTCCCCCCCCCCCCCACGTCCCCTCCACACACACAGTATGGCCTGCCAGCCCCTTTGAACCAAGTGCTGCTCTTCCTCACCTCCATATTGCATTGCCTAGTACAGCGGTTCTCAACTTGTGGGTCGCGACCCCTTTGGCGGTCGAACGACCCTTTCACAGGGGTCGCCTAAGACCATCGGAAAACACATATTGAATATATAATTACATATTGTGTTTGTGATGAATCACTGCGCTTTAATGATGTTCAATTTGTAGCCATGAAAATACATCCTGCCTATCAGATATTGACACGACGACTCATCACAGTAGCAACATGACAGCGATGACGTAGCCACGAAACTAATTTTATGGGTGGGGGTCACCACAACATGAGGAGCTGTCTGAAAGGGTCGCGGCGTGAGGAAGGTTGAGAACCGCTGGCCTTGGTACAATGTGAGTCCCTGGAGCTCAGACACATCTGAGGGCTTTAGAGAGACCAGAGAGAGCGGGAGGGCCCACAGGTGCCGCTCCTCACAGTCTACCTCCCAGACGAGGGCGGATATAAGTGGGCACATGTGGGCTTTGCCTCGCTGTGTGCCGGGAATTGCTGGAGACGCTGGAGTTCAGGTACGGTTTCTCGGCCCCAACAGAGGCTGGCAACTTGATTACTGTCATGACAAATAAGACGGATTCTGTTTTGCTAATGGATTTAGCGGTGCCGTAGAATTCTTCAACTTTTCCTTCCTTCCTTCCTTCTTAAAACTCCCTGCAATTCTCCAACAACTGCTTTGATGTGGTGGGGGGAGAGGTGCTCGTTTAGGGGGATGCAAGCTCTTTTCATCTCTGCTTCGGCTGGACTCGCGGCCAAGTTCTCAGCCTGGCTCTCGGGAGTGACCCACAGCATTGGGAAGGGTAGGAAGGAGGTGGTGTGAGCCCAGTGGTCTGAAGAGTTGGCCTTTGCAAGGGTGGGGGCATGGGTGGAGCCACCAGGAGGAACACCTCTTTTGGAGCATCCTCCTTCCCCTTCCAGGAGGAAGCACAGGTGGGAAGCGGGGAGCCCCTGCTCACTGTCCCCCCACCTCAGACCCTAGGCTTGGAAGGGAATGAATCAAACTCCTCTTTTCCTGGAGCGGAGAAGCCAAACCCAGCTGGGTTTGCAGCGCCCGGCTGGTTAAAGAGCACGATTTCCACTTTTGCTGAGTGACACCAAATTTTAACGTGTTTCCAAAACCTCCCCCTAGCCCCCCGCTGCTGGCTCCTCTGAACCCCCTCCACTGTGGGCTCTGAGCAGCATGCAGGTTTATTTTTCAGTGTCTGGTGTTTATGCGCCACGTTGGAGTTGGGTTTTCCCTGGTACATGGATGGCCTCCTTCAGGGAGGAAGCCTGCGAACCTCCAGCTTCCTTTGCCCATAGCCTCTGGGGGCCGGCTCACCCACCCCATCCCTTGGTTTTAAAGCACTATGGGAAGGAATGTGTCATCTCCAGGTGGAAAGGAACACTCGCTTTGTGTCCATTGCATTGGGGGTGCAGACGTAGGCAAGCATGGACTATGAATGGCTGCAGAGGGGAGCAGCCTGCAGGACACAAGGGCCACAACGGTAACCCCACAAAACAGGACAGCTGTGTGTCCCCAGCTCATCTCCTTGGCTCCTCTCTCAGAAACGGCCGCAGGCAGAGCGGTTAGTAAGTGGTTCAAGTCCTCAGTGCCCTCCTCTTCAGCCCTGTGACCTCTGCTTCCCTTTCCTCCTCCTGTAAAATGGGAACAGAAACTGAATCTGGTGCATGGCGATGTTGTAAGAGCTGGTGAACTATGTCTGGCACACAGTTTAGCGCTCAAGGTGTACTGGCTGTGCCTCTATTAGTAATTAATTATTACTAATAGGAAAGATTAGGAGGTTGTGGCTCTCCTGGGTCTTGGTGAGCTTGGCTGGCCAATCCCAAGGCCCCTTCAAACCCTACTCTCTCCGGCCCGGGTACCGTTGCGATTGCTCAATGAGCTTAACCTGGCGGCCGCCAAGGCGTGGGCACAGGTGCGGCCCTGACCACAAACAGGGCGTGGGCCAAGCCGAGGTCGGGAGAGGCCAAGTGTGCCGTCGGGGCGGGGGCTGGCCCGGCCCCAGAGCCCGGCAGGGGGCGTCTGCGCCGAGCAGGGCGCCGTCGGGCAAGAGACCTCATGCTGCGGCCCCGCCCCTGGCGTCCCGGGTTGGCTGCCACTGGCGGCCTCGCGCGGTCATTGGCCACGGGCCGTGTCACTCTAGCAGCTCGGGGCCCGCCCCCGCCGGCTGGTCAGGGCGGTGGGGGCAGCCGGGCGCGACGCTACCGGGCCGGCCCGCCCTGGGAGCCGCCCCAGCCCTCATCAAATGACCAGTATCCCTCCCTGGAGAACACGGCCCTTCAGAGGAAGGCCAGCTCCATCCCGCAGCCCGGCGCCAAGCCGCCGTCATCTCCCTTCCTGTGCCGGGTGATCCGTCTCGTAACCCACCCGGAAAAACATAGTCCGCCCTCCTGTCCTTGCGGAGTGGCGCTCGCTCCCCCTCGGCCTGCCTCCCTCAGCCCTCGCCAGTGCCTCCCCCCTACCCAGGACTCTAGGGCCCCCCGAGGAGAGGGAGCAGGTCCCTAGGGACGGCTCAGGGGAGAAGCGAGCCGGGCATCCGGGGGAGAGGAAGGCGAAGGCGAGGCTGGCGGAGGGACACCGCGGTCGCCGGCGCAGTGCGCATGCGCGCGGGCAGGAACGAGTTCCGGTCTGGCCCGGGCCTGGCTCCTAAAAATAGCCCCGGTGTGGGGATCCGTGCGCGGCGGTCCCGGCGAGTCCCGGGCTGAGGGAGGGAGGCGTCTCCGGGCGACGCGGTGCTGGCGGCGGGTCCTGGCTGCGGCGTGTGCACGCCTGCCCGCGGCTTGGGGACACGGTGAGGGCCGCTGGGGCTCGGGGCTCGGGGCTGGGGGTGCCGGACCGGGCGGCCTTCCGACGACGGGGCCGGCCGGGGGCTATGGCTCGCTGGGGCGGGATGCAGGGCGACCGAGGCACGGAGCCCGCTGGCCCCAGCGACGCTGGGACAGGGCGGCGTCCGGCTGGCGGGAGGCCGTGGCGCGGGCTGGCGGCGCTGGGGCGGGCGGGGTGCGGGGAAGCAGCTCTGGAGGGGGTCGGGTCGGGTCCGGTCCGCACGGAGGGGCCAGGCGCCCTGAGGGGGTGGGGGCGGGGTGCCCCGAGAGCGGGCCCGGGCCGGAGGGGTGCCGGAGGGGTGCCGCGGGGCCGGGGCGGGATCGGGCAGCGCGGACTCGGCTGCGGGAGCCTCCCGGGCGCGCACGGCGTTCGGGGCCGGGACGTCACCTCCCTGAAAGTTGGAGGAGTCTCCCGGGGGCCTGGCGGCTTTCCGGGGCGGGACCCCGCGCCCCGAGGCCCGGGTCTCCCCGAAGGGATTGACCCCCTCCCCCCCGAGTGGGGGGCGTTCGGCGCTCGCTGTTGCGGGACCTGAAGTCCCCCCACTTCTGCTTCGGGAGAAGGTCGGTCTAAAGGGGCGGAACGTGTCGCTGCGAACTCCCCGTGTGTGGAGATGTCAGTGGCGGCGGCGGGTCGCTGTTGGAGGGTCGGGGAGGCGGCCCGGGCCGGGGGCACCTGCGGGGGCGGCCACGGGACCATCGCGGGGGAGCGGGGGGCCGAGGAGAGGGCAGCTCGCTGTCCCCCCGACATCCAGGCGGACCCTGGCTCGCAGGGAAGGGTTTGTGCGATAGGAACTTTGCCTTTTAGTTCGATTATCGTCTGTCTTGGAACAGCGAGAATGAAGTTAGTAGGTGACATAGTAAAAAAGAAAAAACTTGGGAAAAAGTGAGCGTTGCCAAGTTAAGGAAACATTTATTGTTATTTTTCACCCCGTGGAAGTGCAGGCTGGAGGTAGGAAGCGAGCCTCCCGCGATGGTCCGGTCGGGAACCGCGTGCGCGGGGAAGGGAGCGGCTCAGCCTCAACCTGCGCTCCGGTTCCCCGGCGAGATCGGGGCTCCCGCCCGGCGTCCCGGGGCGATCGGAGGGGCCCGCCGCGGGGTTGCCAACAGCAGGGTGTGCCCTTTACAGCAGAGCATCGCTCCTCAGCCTGTTTCCCCTGGGTCTGGCCTCGCGTGTCCCCCGAAGCCGCCGCCGGGGTGCGGATGGCACCGCAGCCCTTTCCCTTTAAGAGTCCAGCTGTGCTGTTCTGGCGACTGCCAAGCGCTCCTGGTTGTCAGTTGTAAAATCTGTTACCTTGGCAGTGCTTGCACGGTCTGTGCAAAAGGTAAACAGAATAGTTAAATTTTTTTTTTTTGAAAGCATAAGTATGGCATTTAAAAAAAATATGAGTGGAGGAATGGAGAGTAAAATAACTATTGGGCTGTTACGCTTTTGTGTGCCCACTTTTTGTATTTTTGTTTGGGTGTGTGGGGGGGTGTGTGTGTATTTTGGGGGGTCCCGGTCAACTCATTTCTTTCACTGCCTCGTAACTTTTGTTTTAGGAAAAAAAGTTAAATGTTTCCACCAAAGTGGATGCCAGTTTTCGCTGGACTTTTTGTAGCACATGGAGTGAACGTGTTGCGTGTCATGAAGTATTCGGATTAGCTTGTTCCATCGATGATGCTGTCCTGATTGATTCTGGAATCACTTTCAGCTCTCAGCGTGGGTTCTCGTGGGACAGTTGCGATGATAGTGTCATCATAATGAAAGTATTCCGAGGAGCTGAGACTGGGACTTGGATACCTGGTGGATTCAGACTTTCGCAGTTTGTTTGCAAGGTTGTTTGCAGCAGAAGCTTAAACTTCCTGAAGCAATAGCGACCTCCCTACACCAACTTGCTTATCTATTTCTTTTAATTCACACTGTTGTTACTTGTGTGTAAAACCGTGTGTCTCACATTGGAACAAAGGTGATGAAATTATACCTAACAGAAATTAATTTATTTCCAGTAAAAGTTTTTTTTGTTTTTTTTTTTTTTTTTAAATTAAGGGATTTAAGTGAATGGTGAGGGTTGTTCAGTGGAAGGAACATAGCTCATTGCGATTCGGCAATAATAAGTATAATGTCATCGTGTGGATTTATGGCTTGAGAATGACCTCCTTCCAGATTCTTAAGAGTTTTTATGTTTCCTTAATAGGTATGTGTGACAAAGATTTTTATGTTTTTTGTAAATACAACTGGAAATAAGCTTTTAAAGATGTTGAGTTGTTTGGAGTGGTGTTTTGTTTTTTCAAGACAATTGCATGATAGCTTTGTATCTTCCATGTAGAATGCTCTGCGGGGTAATATTAATTGTATTAACATCGAGCAAAAGCAACATCCGTCATTCATTTGGTTACCAAGAGAGAAATAGTGACGTGTATGCTGAGGGTAGTTAAGTAATTATGGAAATGTTGAATAGACCACGATTTTAACGTGTGAGCTCTTTCAATTAAATCTTGAGTAGATCTGTGTTCTGATTTGCGAGGAGGAGGCTGCAAACAAATTTGTTAGTGGGAAAGTAGCCTGTTGCCAGCCAAGTTTTGGGAAGCCTCTTCCCCCCACCCCCCACCCCTTTCAGCTTTTAATCTGGCAAGGGGACATACAGTGATGACGGTTCTGGGTTGTCTGTGGGCATTTATACTGTCAGTAATCAGACCATACCCCTCTTGTTTTTGTTTGTTTGCTTGCTTTTTTTTTTTTTTGTGGTTTTGTTTAAAGTTACACTCTTGGTACCTATGAATGTTACAAAGTGTTGCTGAGTTTTATCAGTGATGCGACAGTGGAAATACCGCTCTGTGGATGGAGAATGAACACCATTGCTTTTTTCTAGATGACAAGGCGCATCTGTGAACACTCTCAGTAGGTGAAGTAACTAGAGGAGTATGCATGTGGCAACGCAGACCCGTCTTCCAGTTCCATAGCCTCCAACAGGAGGACACTGTCCTGTGTCCCGATTGGCACGTTTGTCCTCAGATCTTGGTTCACATCTCAGCTCTCCCCCTGACAGAGTTCGGAGACCTTTGCAAAAGCCAAAGGAATGGCTCTGCCTGCCCCTGGGAGTTGTTAGGGTTAAATGAAATAATGGGTGTGAAAGTTCCCAGCACGCTGCCTGAGGCGCAGTGCACAAAAATGCACATTGCCTGATCTCTCCTGATTTCTTCCTCCATCTATCCCTTCTTCCAATAAGATTACGTAGGTACATTGCCTAGTACATGTACGTGTAGTGTCTGTGGCCAAAGGACTTCCTATAACGTGTAAATAGAGGAGAATGCACGCGTCTTTGTTTGGGATGCAGTATCCTAGCCTCTTAAATTCACCGTCAGAGTCTACATAAAATGTTTATCTGGCTCTTCTACATTAGATTTTTAATCTGCAATCATTGTTTGATTCTAACCTCTCTAATGTCCCCAAATTAAAAAAAAAAAAAAGGTGCCGTTAAATATAAGTTTCCCTACTCTTCAGTGAAACGTGCCCTTTAGGAATGAACTGTGTTTTCAAGATGCAGTCATTAAAATGTGAAATTAGAAAAATACTTTTATGACATACCTGCCATAGGTGTATTTTAAAAATAGCTTTTCTTTAGGAGGTAGTCTACGGGGTGGGGCAAAAGTAGGTTTACAGTTGCGAGTACGTGCTCTTGTGCTATTTATTGTATTATTTCCTATATGAACAGCTGTAAAGTGACTTTTGCCTCCCCCTGTATAATTTCTATTCTTCATTTCACCTGCTCTGTGGAATGAAATGACTTATCTGCGTGTGCTTTACCTGTGTACTCCATAATCTGTGGACCTGTGTCCAGTTTAATATCATTGAGCGGAAACCCACTTGTTAAGTCTCACGCATAGCGCCTGATGTGTGTTGACACATACTATTCGTAAATACTATACTTTAATATACATTTTTATTTACGGATTTGAGTGGATATTTGTATTTACTGAATTTAATTGTTTATTGAACTTCATATTTTTTTTAATATCACATTGTCTTAGTAATTCCTCGAGATGAAGTCCTGAGTATGTAAGTTAAAAATTGGCAGGTCTCTGAGGTAGAATGCCAGTATTCGAACCGTGGTGTATGAAGGCTGGTGACTTCCTTCTTTCGTTGAATCTGATGGTGCTGGGGAGTCAGAGGAATTGTTAACATGGGTGAAAAACAGACAATAGTGGATCAGACTACTAATAAGCATCAACCACGGCACATCTTTTTATGGCTGTCTTGAATCAATGCTATTTTTATTTTCTTCCTTAAACAAAAATATAAATTTTAGTCTGTGAACTTTAAAAAAAATTCAACCATCAGTATCAGTAAAGTTATGGCTTGAGAACTACCTTGGTAGTGGGTGGTGAACTTATACTGCGTGAGCTGGACCCATCTACCAGGTTATCTTTGTTACCAGCAGCATGTGTGTGCAGGTTGACTTGGGTTAGTTTGAGTTATGATTTGTGATCCCTGGGACAAAGGGATCCTCTCCATTTAACCTGGGAAGGTGACTGCTGGTTTATTAAAGCAGGGTGCTCTTGCATCGACTACTACTGTGTTTGCCTGTCTCACCTCTTATCTCCCCTCTCCCCCACCCTCAACAATCCATCTTTGACATAGAGACGGAAATTATATTTCTAAAATTCAGATCTAAGTGTCATTCTTCTTCTATGAAAAAAATTTGAAGGCGTAGAAAGTCAGTGGAGAGGCAGTCATTTAAGGCATAGAGATTGGCCTCTAAAGCCATACTGCTGCCCTGGCCGGCTTGGCTCTGGATAGAGCATCGACTGGGGACTGAAGGGGCCTGGGTTCGATTCTGGTCAAGGGCAGGTACCTTGGTTGCAGGCTCCTGGCCCTGGTCGAGGCAACCAATCGATGTGTCTCTCTCACATTGATGTTTCTCTCTCTCTCTCTCTCTCTCTCCCTCTCTCTCTAAAAATCAATGAAAAAATAAAATAAATAAAATCATACTGTCTTAGAGTCTCCAGTCTAGTACTGTGTGTTCTTTGGCGAGGTCTCAATCTTCATGGGGTTGATGCGAGGATGAGACGAGATGTGTGTTATAAAGGCTTCAGCATGGTGCGTGGTCCCTCAAATGCAGTCATTTTTGTTCCCTGCCAGTACTATTACCACTGCTGCTATGGCTATTATTTTAGTCATGGTTCACTTCCCGATAGGATTCTAGCCTATCTCTCCAGGTTCGTGGTCAGCCTCTGCCCTTCCATTCTCTGACCCCGTTCAGGCCAGCTGCTGGCTCTTCCCCGAGAAGGCCACGCATGCTGACGATGGCCACGTTTATTTTCCTAGCCCGGAACTGCCCTTTAGTTCCATATCCACTTGGAAATCTAGTTGGGATTTCGAGCGTAATTTTAGCCATGTGGCCAAAACATAGCTATTTATTCCTCTCCCACGATCTTCCTCCCTCCTCCCCCCAAACCTTGATGTCCTTGCTGACTTTCTCCATCTCAATGAATGGCAGCCCTCGAGCCAGAAATGGAAGCCATCTTTCCGCGTTCCCTTCTTTCCTCTCGGATCCAGTCCAATCTCGCCTTCGGTCGCACCTTCCGAATGTACCTTGAGCCGCTCCACCCCTGTCTCCCTGCCACTTCTTGATTTCAAGGCACCGTATGTTTTGCATGAATTACCGCAGTGGCCTCCGAACGGGCTTCTGGTTCCCGCTCTTGCTCCTCACAAGTTCTTTTATCACACGGCAGCTCTAGAGATTATTTTAAGAGCTAAGCCCTGTCATTTCTCTGCTTCGACTCTTCCGATGACTCCCCATTCCTCTCCTTTCTGTGGCCTGATGATCTTTCTCCTCCTCGTCTTTCCTTCCAGGGTTCTTCTCAGTTACTGGATGCCAGGCACCTGGACCTGTCAGTGTGCTAGAAACCCTCGATGTCCTTGTTTTTGGGCAGTGGTTCTCAACTTTCTGGCCCTTTAAAACAGTTCCTCATGTTGTGACCCAACCATAAAATTATTTTTGTTGCTACTTCATAACTGTCATGTTGCTACTGTGATGAATCGTCATGTAAATGTCTGATATGCAGGATGGTCTTAGGCGACCCCTGCGAAAGGGTCGTTCAGCCGCCAAAGGGGTCGCGACCCACAGGTTGAGAACCGCTGTTTTAGGGTCTTTGCACTTTTTGTAATAACTGCTTGTCCTCACTCAGACTACCCAGTTTAATGTTGTACTCCGTTAGTTACTGTCTTCACACATCTGATTTCCTTTCAGATACTTATTATAATTTATACATATCTTGTTTGTTTAGTTTTTTAAAAAAATATATTTTTATTGACTTCAGAGAGGAAGGGAGAGAAGAAAGAGAGAGAGAGAGAAACATCAATGAGAGAGAATCATGAATCGGCTGCCTCTGCACGCCCCCTACTGGGGATCGGGCCCGCGACCCCAGGCATGTGCCCTGACCGGGAATCGAACCGTGACCTCCTGGTTCATAGGTTGATGTTCAACCACTGAGCCACACCGCTGGGCTAGTTTATGGCCTTTCTCCATTACCTGAATGTAAACTCTGTGAAGGCAGGGGCCTTGTCTGGCTGGTTGGTGGCTGCATCTCCAGGCAGTAGCGCACTGCCTGGCGCTGGGCAGACAGTAGATGTTTGAATGAGGGCTTTGGTATCTTTTGTTCATATTTTTGCTAGGAATCGGCATGCTTCTTTGCTTATATATCTATCGCACTATTTATTCACGCTGTGGCTCAAGTGTCATCCGTGATACCAATTTTAATCTCCCAAGACAAAGTTTCTGTCACTTGGTGTTGATATAACACACTGTTTGCAGATTGAGTACCATTTCAGAGTATTTGGAGTGCTGGGCTGCGTTCCTCCAGCAGGGCTGCCTGGCTCCCTGTGTGCTCGGGACCGACCAGCCCATCACGGAACCTAGGGACCTAGGGCAAGCTCAGCCAGTGCAGGTTTCCTAATCAGCTAGAAGGATCAACCACAACTGGTTTTCCCAGTCTGCCTTTAAAAGCGATAAAGGGACTTTCCGGGCTGTAAAAGACTCCCTTATGAATCCGTATGCATAGTAACATCGCCATCAGCATTTTGGGTCAAGGCAGTAAGTCAGAGCTGGTGAGCGCATGTGGCATTTCCTCCTGATATTCCATCTCGCCATCTTGTTGCGTTAGCAGTGCCTCTCCCTGTGAAACTGTTGGAAAGCGTAATTAGTTACCCGTTGCTCCTTACGTCTAACCAGCATCTCCTCTAGTTCCTCCCGTCAGCTTACCCACCGACTTCTGTTCTATCTCAGAAAGGCCAGGGGAGGGACTCTGCAGTTTAGCACCGTCTGCATGAAACAGTGCGGATTTCACCTGTATTGCTAACAAAGATTTGCGAAGAGCTTTTGTGGCCAAGGTCAGGGACCTAACCACTGTTTGTAATAGTGGAAATCATTCCACATTTTAAGCAGCTGACCACGTGGGGTTTTGGACTATCTCCCATTTGCAAGTTGGGGACCATGTTAGCAGGATGTTTATTTTGACACTGAAAACCTTTTTCTTAATGGCGTTAACCTTAATTTGACAAGGATTATGGAGGGAAAGGGAAAGAAGAATCTGGGAGTTAAGATTGCGTTGTTCAGAAATGGCTCAGTTTCCCAATACTAGTAACATTTTAGTATTGGCAAAAAAAAAATTTGTGTGTGTGTGTGTGTGTGTTCTGTTTTGTTTTGGGAAAAAACTTAGAGAAAAGTTACAAGAACAGTACAGCAAACTTGCATGTACCTGTCAATCGTTAACATTTGGCATGTTTGCTTCATTGTTGTTTGTGTTTATACAGTGGCCCCAAAGTCTGGAAACAGATGTTAGTATTTATTTTATTTACAGTTGGAAGCCCCTTGATTACATCTTGTGGAGTATGCCAAAGCTGGACGTCTGCTCAGTTAGTCAGACGCGTATCATCTCATGCAGCACATCCCAGATGCACACAGGGATAGACGGAGATGCTGCCCTCATCACTGTGTACTTGTAACAAGGAACCCGCACGGTAGACATAGCATGTCTTGTAAAGTAATAGCAGGAATCCACTCTGTAGATCTCCTGTTGCTTCCTCTCCTTCCTCCTCTTTTTCCCCCTCTTCATCTTTCTCTTGAAAAAAAGTTTTTTTATTGATTTCAAAGAGGAAGGGTGAGGGAGAGAGAGAAACATCCATGATGAGAGAGAATCATGGATCGGCTTCCTCCTGCACGCCCCCCACTGGGGATCGAGCTCGCAACCCGGGCATGTGCCCTGACCAGGAATCGAACTGTGACCTCCTGGCTCCTAGGTTGACGCTCAACCACTGAGCCACACCAGCCGGGCCTCTTCCTCTTATAAATATTTTCATTAAACCATTTGAGAGTAGGTCGCACACATCATGATCCTTTACCCTAATTGTTTCAGCTGATATCGTCGAAGAACGAAGACATATTCTTACATAACCATTGTGTGATGGATTCAAGAAATTTAATATGGATACTATAATACACAGTTCCTGTTGAAATCTTATTTATGCCAATTCTATTCTTTAGTAGCATTGTTTCTAATATAGTATCTTTTCCATTATAGTTGTCATATCTGGTCTCTTTTCATCTGAAACGGTCCTTCAACCTTGTTTTTTCTTTTTTCTTTTTCCGACTTAAAAGTGTTGAGGAGCACAGGCCCTTTGTAGGATGGCTGTCGGTTTGGGTTCGCCATTCTGCTCTGTTAGGCCCCGGCTACGCTGTTGTGGCAGGAATGCCGCCTGGGTGACGGCGTGTCCTCAGCACCGCGCTAGGGGCAGCGTGATGTCAGGTGGGCCCGTTGATGATGCGCACTGGGACCCCTTAGTTCAGGGGTGCCTGCCGGTTCTCCCCGTAAAGTGATCATTGTAGTCGTTGCTGTCACTGAATAATCTGTGGGGAGACACTTGGGGCTGTAAATATTCTGTCCTCCCTACAATGATCACATAGGAGTTTTAGCGTTCATTGAGGATTCTTGCCTGAATCAGCTATCACACAATGGTTTCAAAACGGTGTTTTTCCGTGATTCCTCCCACCTTGACTGCTTGGCATTTGATTCCATGGTAAAGGAGAACTTTGCCTTCTCCTTCGCTTATTTAATATCACCATAAATTCATAGACTCTTTTTATCCAGCAGGTTGTACTCTGTTACCTGTTGGCACAGGACTCGTTTTGATGTGAGTTTGAGGTTCCACGCTAACTCGCATTCGGTCAGCGGGTGCTGCTTAATTCATTGATCGTTTGGACACGCTGCTGTCACTTCCGGAGTACTTCCTTCTTTGGGGGCCATAGTTATTCCAGGCTGCCCTGCTTTTCCTCCTGAGAACCAGCCATCCCTTCGGGGAGCCTCATCTCCCTGACTGGGGGAGAGTATTTAGAAGCCAGAACTGGGCAGTAGGTAGGTGTGCTTGCTGACACTGAGGCTGCGTTGCCCAGGCTAAGACATTCCCAGTGTATGCCGATGCCTCAGGCAGCAGGTTGTAACTTCTCCTTACATTCCCGACACTCGGAGAAGAAAGGCTTTTCCTCTGAAAGTGGGAACAATTTAAGGGACGACTGTCACCTGATTTTTCTACATGATTTTGTAATGGTTGGGTGTTGTTTTCCACATTTTAAGCTTCTCTGGAGTAAGAATCCTCTTTTAGATATCTCTTGAGATATTCAGCGAATATGTTCCACAGGCCTGGAATATAGTTGATACCCATGTCTTGTTTATAACATATAATTAAAATAATGACTCGGTATTATCTTTATTACTCTCATGCCGCAATTAAATATTCTTGTGTTTGTTATAACATTTTAGGTAATTTTGTGGATCCTTTAAAGTGAATTGGTGATTCATTTGTTCTGTTTTTAGTAATCTGCTCTCCTAGAAGAAATGAAAAAGTGGTCAAGTTTTTCAACTTCAACATTTAAAACCCTGACTCCTGAGATTAAAGTATGCAATTGAAGAACATCAAAATGCCCAATCTTGGCATTGCTGTTTTATAGTGTTTTGTTCTTTAGCAAGCAACACCCTTTCTGGGCATCGCTTTAATTATAAAATGAGATGATATCTGGATGCTCTTTACCTTGGCGTGCTTTGTGTCTAATTAACACGGAATTGTTTATGAAAGTGAGAATTAAGTGCCACAAAGATAGTGGAAGGAATACTGTGCTCCTGAGCCAGGGGTTCCTCGGGACTCGCTCCTTTTAAGCGGTTCCTTTTTGTGTTGCTTTGGCGATTTATTCACCGTGATGGTCCTTGCCTTCTGCGTTCAGCCCACGCGGCTGGGTGAGGAAGCTCCCCAGGGCACGGGCTCGGCTTTCACAGCGCGTTGGATGGGGGTGTGGACATACATGTTCATCATCCCCTCTGCTATGTGCTCGATGTGGGCAGTGCAAGTTCCGGGAACACAAAGAAGGGCGATTCACCAGGTGCAAGAGAGGCAGAATAGTTCATTCCAGAAGTGGCACCTTCAGTTTAGGTTGAACCCCGCAGGCTGAACAGGACAGCTGCGTGAGGAGGAGGGACAGTGTTTGCCAGGGACCTTAGGGCAGTGGTCAGCAAATTGTGGCTCAGCAAACTGCGGCTCGTGAGCCACATGCGGCTCTTTGGCCCCTTGAGTGTGGCTCTTCCACAAAATACCTACTTCTGCGCATGGGCCACAAAGTTTCAATCGCACTGTACGTGCGCACCCGCGCATGGTATTTTGTGGAAGGGCCACACTCAAGGGGCCAAAGAGCCGCATGTGGCTCATGAGCCGCAGTTTGCCGACCACTGCCCTAGGGAATTTGTACCTGGTCTTAGGGAGAATGGAAGCACCCTCAGCCTGGGAGGGGATGGACTGCTGCTGCTTGCACTGCGGAGAGAGCTTGGGGGAGAGTTAAACCTGGGAGGCGGGGAGAACAACTAAAGGGCTGGCAGCAAATTGGTTAAAGGGTCAGGTAGCCCTGCTACAGCTGAGGGGATGGGGAAGGGAGGAATTGGTGGATTTGAGAGAGAGGGGCGGTAGAATGGAAAGACTCCGTGATGGGAGGCATGTGGGCGGTGAAAGAAAGAGGGAGGGGTGAAGATGAGGTGTATGGGCAACGGGGGAGTGAGCGGGCAGCTTACTGAATGGGCGCCAGGAGGAGCAGCAGGCGGAGAGGACGGGGTTGTGTTTGCCTGTGAGGGAGCGCCTGATGGTGGTAAACGGCTGGGTCAGAGGAGGGAAGGATTCGCTGTCGGAAGTGAGACAGTCCTGATCATAAGGTCCAAGGACTTGGCCAGGAAATGGGTGCTGGACGGGGACTGGAAGGGAAGGAATGAAATGGGCAGGGACCTGAGGGGACTTACGTTCAGGAAGCGTAAGGAGGAGTCTTGTAGAACTCATTCTTGCCTTGGCGATCGGATGCTCCTGAGAAGTACTGGTCGTTCCTTTCTAGAATGTCTTTGAGTTGGGTTTCTTCGATGCTTTCTTACGATTCACATGGGGTTTTCTTTTTGGCAGTGATACCACCCGAGGAAGGGTGGCGTGCCCGGAGGTCCATTTCCATCGGTGTCTTATCACTGGCGTTGTTCCTGTTGATCGCGGTTAAGGTGGCCTCTGGGTTTCTCTATTGTCCAGTTAGCTTTTCTCTTTGAGAAGGGAAAATATTTGCGGGGGAGTCTGTTAGATTTCCTGTTTCTCTTCAGGCTTCCACCCACTCATTTTAGCATCCATCGGTGGAACTTATCTACAGCAATTATTACTGTAATGTTTACCTAATGATTTTGTTTTTTCCTTCAGTTGCCAACTGAAAGTCTACCGTAATGAAGAATTGTCCCCCCTCCGCCATTTATTTATTTAGTCACTTATTTATATTGGTATAGACCCCAAGATGCTTTATCGGTAGGCTGTGATTTCACGTTATCATTATTTACTGTATTGCTCCGATCGGCCTGCGTTGGCCTTTGGAAGCCCCTCTGGTTGACTTTGTGTCCTCTTGGCCTGTCTCCATCCTTTCTGAAGGACTTCCTTGCTGTCTGGCGCTGTCAGAAGCTGCAGGCTCGGCGTGCATTTACCTGTCCCAGTCCTAGTCCTGGAATCATCTTCTTTCCCAAAGAGCCCTGGCTTTCTTGGAGGATGGCATTTAGAAACCAAGGCCTGGGCGCCGGGCGTGCTCATTGCGGCTGGGGTGTCGCTGTTTCTAGGCCTTCTCAGTAGAGCGACGGAATATGCGTGTGTGCACCAACCACACGTACACGTCTGCAGTCAGGCCTATGATACGGCCTATGCGTCCCTGAATTCCCTGCGCTGGACGAAGCTGGGCACTAAATACCACAGGATTCATGGGATAAATGGAGTTGAGGAACGAACTCAAAAACTTTGTTAGTGACACATGAAAAAGAGAATAGGATCCTAATAACCTATTTAAAATAGCAGCATGGTTTTAGACATGTTCAATGGTTAAGTCATACATGAGGACATAGCAGATATGGCACTTCACTATGAAAAACAACAACAAGGTTGCTTATGTAAGTGGGTGTCGGAGGGCTGTGAGTGATTGTGAAGAGGCGGATAGGGAGTGTGAAAGCAGAGGAAACATCACAGATGTGGGTGCTGTGGCTCATGGCGCACGTGGTGGGCTGTGGCAGCGCCTTTGTATTTGAGCCTGTTCTCCCCTGGGTGCCTCCCTTCTGTGATAACTTTTCATTTTTTTCTATTTCTTGTCTGCATTCGGCCAGCTTTTCTGTATTTGGACCGTTTTTGGTTAAATGTCTGAATTTCGGATTCAAAGTGGTTTTCCTGCCTTCAGGTCTGGCTTGAACCCATTGAATTCTGTTTGGAGGACTGAGTGGCCCTTTTCCTCGCCTGCTTTGGGGTGTGTGGGCAGGGGCCACATTCTGTTTCCTGGCCTGGATTTCGGTGTCCTTGTTCGTCTTTACGGCGGTGGGGTTTGTGGTATCCCCAGTTTCATGGTGCCCTCCTCTGTCAGTGTAGACTGCCCTGTTAGTTCCGTGGTTTTGGTTGGTTTGAATGGTCAGAGAAGGGTTGTGAGACTT